AGATTTCGAGAGGCTTGGGATCGTCGTACTTGCACTGTTGGATGTTAATGCTCGGTAGTTTGCTGCTTGGCCTGGCTTGTCCTGAATAGCTGCGTAGTTATGACCTAGCTGAGAAGGTCCGATAAAACATAAAATTTTTTACAGTGAATAGTATGTAGGGCGGTACGGGATATTGCCAGACACTTAAATGAAAATGATTGAATTTTCAATCATTAATAGTTCCTGTCATATTTTAAATTTAATACCATAAATTTCAAATATTAACTGGTAATAATCAAACCACTAACATCTTTTATTTTCAGCTTTCTCTTTCAATACAACAGCAACCTTGGGATCAAAGAAAAATTAGAACTTCCATCCCCGCCCCTCTCAGCCACAGCCACTCTCTACCGGGTTTGACTACTTTAAGTAGCTTAAGCACAGCACTGCCTTATGCAATCTTACTTTTTGATAAGTGTCAGTTTCATAAAATACATTAATTTAATACCTTTTTTTCATATTATACTCCCGAAGCATATGAATTATTAATACACCGAAAAGAAAGCATGAAAGAGTGAATATAAAAATCTAATTTAGTAAATGAGATTTTTTTATGAAAATTTATGAAAAAAATCATGTTTGAATTTAAATACAATCATATATTATATCAACATGAAAATAATATTAAAATTAAAGGTATAAAAAGGTATTAAAAAAAGGAAAATTTAAATAAAACATAATTTTGTAAAAATTATATCATTAGCCCTCTGAATGCCAATAGTCGTAGAAAATTCAAATAATATTTTAATTTTAATATTAATTCAAATAATAATAAAATATTTCATATAAATTAAAAAAATAAAATAAACTAAATTTGTGTGATTATTATTATTATTATTATTATTATTATTATTATTATTATTATTATTATTATTTTATTATCGATAATCGAAAATTTTAACACCTCTACGTTACAAAGAAGGTCACTTTTTTATTCTTATGTTTATTTAATTCAGAATATTTGCTTAAGCTCGACTTCTTTTAAATTTTGTTTAATACTCTCTTCCTGTTTTCGTTTGGCTCTACTTCAAAGTTTCTTGATTTCCTGTTTCCCAATTGGAGCCAATATTCGACTCTTTTACTTTCGCATTTAATCTATATACTCTACCCATCTTAATTTGAATAATTTAATTATTTTGAAAATATTCGGAAATATCGAATTTCTCTATCTTATGATTATACGATTTGAGATATTTTCTACATTTATGTCATTTCAATTTTGCCAAGATAACTTTTTAAGGCTTTTACTTCTGAATGTTTTAAATCTACTTTCTTTTCATCGTATATAACAAAAGCCCATGTTCCGAAGACTACCGATAATATTAATGGTCACAAATTTTAACATTAAAAATGGCATAAGAATAATGCGCATAATTTATAGACAAAGTTGTTCATCTACCTTAAACACATCACTTGTCGTCACTACATGTTAGTTCACGCGAATGCGCCAATAGTATAGCAAAGTGCCGAGGAATAAGCACAAGCAAAAATTTAAGCGCACCGATTCTATAAAGAGAAAATACGAACGGGCGGATTTCCTGTGAAGATACTGCCAGAAGATCGGTTCACTTAAATCGTTCGAAAAGGACGTTAAAGAAAAATATGAGGTAAATTCAGATGTAGGATAACATCGAAAAAATCAGTAAAATCATATGATAAATGTAGATAATCGATGAACAATGGATGTGCAGCAACGCTACTGACTTTCTAATAAAATTTAAATGCTTTTGGTTATACGAAAATGTTGCGACGAGAGAAACGACTTCCACGCGAGAGGATTTGAAAATATCCAGAAGTCGAGTGGAAACGCACAGGAATAAAGCAAGCTCAAGTGCATGAGCCGCGTTGCGTAATCATCCCATGTACGCCAGGCTTTAAGATTAAACGCGAAAATGAGTTTATAGGGAGCCCGAAGTTTCCTCTTCTGTTCCTTTAATCTCTTGTAATGAGTTGATTCGATCAGCATCCCGGGGTTATTAGAGGCCATAACAGCTGCGCCGTGTCGAGCGGTGCCTTTTGTTGCAGAAAACGTCGCCGAGAAGACACGTAGCCAATACCCGAGAAAGATATAAGAGCCCGAGATAAATAATGGATAGCTAAGTTCGTTGTCCGGATTTCAAGGGAGAGGGAGAGAAAAGTCAACCAACGGCTAGGGGTTGCGCAGTCCTTGCGCAGCATCAGCCGCATCACAACAGCATCGCTATGGCCAGGAGGCGTAAGCGCTCCCGGTCTTGCACCACAATGAGAAGCTCCGCCGGGATTCGAATTGCTCGCAATAAAATTCAAGGACTCTGTTGCGGAGCAAATGCCTGGGGATAGTTTTAGTGGCTTGTTCTTTAATTATCATCTTCAAATTACTCGTCAAAATTGGCTATTTAGTTTTACATACGCTTTTTCTCCTTTCCTTTTAAGTATTATATGTCATTTGTATATGAGATATGGTTAGAGGACGATTACAACTGACAAATAAATTAAAACAATTTGACATTGGAAAAAAGGTAAATAACGTAGAATGACTATTCTGTCTGTGTGCTAAACCTATGTGCCCCGAGGGATAGTCGATATCGGAATTTCCAACTATTAAACTGCTAGTTCCTCTAACGCAGCAACTTTCTTCTTTTTTTCATTACAGACTAAGTGCAATCTGTTCCTTAAAGGTAAAATTGTAACGAAACAGTTTTCAAGTTCTTATTTCTTATATAACTAAAAAGTATTAGACATTTTCATATCAATTTATTATTATTCCCTGTATCTATCTTTTTTAATATTGTAATACCATGGCTAAGTGTTATGAGAAGAAATTAATTATTTGTAACCATCAGGATCGTATTTAAAAATAAATAAATTTTGTAAGAAATACTTAATAAATTTAATGATAAATTAATAATGAATTTTATAAACAATAATGCAACTTATAAAAAGTAGGCTTCATATAAAATATATCCAACTTAATTGTTCGTTGTATCTTAAATACTTATATTTTTAATCGTTACTTTAGTAAAACATAAATATTCGGTATAATGATTTAATAGTGAGCTCATGCATACTACTGTAAGAAATCTTATTATATTCGATTTTAAATTAGTATTAATCTCAAGAATTCAAGCTAAAAAATATCACTTTAAATTAAAATTATTTTCGTCTTGTTTGCAAGTAATAGTGAAAAAAACAAAACAGTTATATTTTCTCAGATATAAAATTTTCAAGAAGACAAGACAAATTATACTGATATATTCTTGAGATATTTTATGTGCTCGAATTAATAATACTGTAAGTTTATGCAAAAACTTTTCGAATTTTAAATAAATATAAATAGCATATAAAACTAACACATTTTTATTAAAATTAGAAATATTGTTAATATATAAAACTTTATGAAGTCTACATATTTTTATATATTTCATTATATTTATAATTTTAGTTATAATGGAAAAATGTTAAATATTCATTTCCGACAATATTTCTATGGGCAATTAATTAAAACAAATATTAAATCATTACATTACAATTTAATTTTAAAGATAATTAAGAAAATATGTTATGCTGAATAAGGAGCGAGTTTTTAAATAAATTGATTTAAATTGAAATTCTTAGGTTCAATCTAATTACGTTATTTAAGCAGTTGTAAAATTGTTGTTAAAATACTAAAAAAAAATAGGATAGCGCTCGCTGACTCTTTGAATTGAAAACAAAATTTTCAAATCTGTTTTTACAGATTTGAATAACAGATCATACAGTATTGTTTTTTCGTTTTTACAATATAAGTCAATCTTAAATCGACTTGAACAAATTTAAAAATGTATGAAATATATTTTACTATTCGGGGAAACTTTGAAAAACCTATAAAGATTGTTATTTTCTTTATAAAAAAGTATCGGAAATTCTGAATTTTAAAAAACAACACTACCGAAATTTCATTTTTAATAAGTATATCATCATTGTTCAAGTACAAATTTTATAGTTTTCAATTTTTCTTTTTTCTTTTAAATTTCGATATATAAATTTGCACATTTATAGAAGGATGCGCATTTACAAACAATTTATATTTAAATTTATAAATTTTCAAAAGTTTCGAAATAAAAAAAAATATAATATAATTTGTTTTAAAATTTGATGTATATAATAATAAAAGATAACAAAGAAAATATCACGTACAAATTTTATTTATTTTTATAATTGATTCAAACATTGTTTTTTTATAAAAATAACTGGTTAAACATATTAAGTAATATCTTTTTAGTTAACTAAAGATTCACGCATAGTACGTGATAATAATGTGTTTTCTTTTTTATAAAATTAACTTAGATCTAAAAATAGTGCTTCTTCTAGGTTCATTAAAAAGCATTATAATGAATTTTTATTGAAATCTATTTAATTGAAATAATAGCGATTACAATATTACTGATTTACTACTCTCATAATTACAACTTTTGTATAGGTTTTTTAATCCCGACTTTATAAAATAAATTTAAAACTATTACACGAAAAAAATAAAATGACCAAATAAAAAGGCAAAATAAATTACATATTCATTTTTATAATTCTCCTTGATAATATCTCCTCTCGAATAAAATGATTTAAGTCATAAATTGAATTTTATTAAAAAAACAAATAACTTGATATAAAATATTTAATATCTTTTATTTACGATTTATTTTTGATTTTATATTTATCAATATTAATAAATACTTGAATTTTATATTTAATAATATACAATGAGTGTAAATACGTATGTAAAATACATACACATAAATAACATAATTTAAAATTTTAGTATACTTGATTTAAAGTATGCAAATATATTGTTTTAAATATCTCATATTAATATAATACAGTTTTTAAGCCGTTCAATTGAATACTTTTTGTGAATTAATTCTGCATTGAGAAGAAATATTCTATTCTAAAATTCATCTTTACCCAAAGAATATTTTAAAATATTTGCGTTTACACGTTTGTTCCAGGATATCCGTGATATTTCGAGTACGTTCAGCTAAGGCCGTTAAGATAACGGATATGAATCTTCTAAAACGGCTTGGAATAATTGTAACAATATTTAGTGTGTTTTTGGGAATTCGCACACTGGTAGCACCACCGGTCGTTATTGTCGCTCGTACAGCTGATGACCTGAAGGCCTACTTATGTCGGACAGATTGGTGGGACCATAGTTTTACAACACGTGAGCTATATATTTATTGTTCTTTATACAATGTCCTATAAAAAAAAAGACTAAAAACATAATACCATACATTAATTTAATACTTAGTCTTGACTTAATTAATAAAGTTCACTTAAATAAAGTTTACTAAAATTTTATTTATCATTAAAGTATTATGCAATATTACTTCATATCTATTGGAAAAAATATAATTTATTTTTCATATTTCATAAAATGTATAAGAACCTATTAATAAACTTTTTAATATTTTATAATTTATCAGAATCTTACAAAATTTTTGATCTATTTTCATACATTTGTTTTGTGTAATAATTATTATTTTTTTATTAATATTTCTTTTCTTAGTATTAATTAAATCAGACATATATATTTTATATTTAATTGTTTTGTGATAATATAAAACCATTCGTCTTCAAAATAAAATTATTTTTAACATCAGCCCACTTTATTCTATTCATAATTACAATTCTCCTGTTGACTATATTTAAGTATAATTTATAATATTTTCACCCAGTTCAGCATACACACACTTACACCTACAAACAAATAAACATACACACATAAATATTTATATTTAATTATACACATATATTCTTGATTAAATTTTGTTAGATTATTTACAGTAATCGATTTACGTTTGTCGCAGTTTCGTTGACTGTGACCCACTTACTGAATATAACAAGAATGTGTCAGTTGCGCGATATTAACTTACAGATAATCAAAATCCACTCTCATTATTATTTTATAATTGGTGGATTCTTATTACTTTCGGAACTTGATGCAACCGTAATTTTCTACTTAAATTCTGGAATTATTATATATGAGTTATTATAGGTTCTATAACTGTAAAAAAATAAAATATTTTATATATAATCTTGTGATTTAAACTCAGATTCACCTAATTTTAGTTTTATAATAATTTGTAAAAGTATTAGTAATTAAAAAAAAAAAATTAAATAAAATTTAAATATACCTAATAATTATGTTTTAAACCATATGTTAAATTTAACAATAAATTAAAAACTAAACATTAAAGTTAATTATATATTAAACAATGAATTGCTCACATTTTTTCTATGAGTGGTAAATTCTAAATAATTATTTATCATATTTCTTATTTGAATTCACAAATTAAAATATGAATTAGTATCAGTATAGTAAAATATGTTATTTTTAAATCGTTTTATTGATTTTTGATAGCTTAATTCAATCATATTTATGTATACGAATATTTGGAATTTCAGTTCAAACTTTATTATAAATATGCCGATAAAATTGAGTGAGAAGAATAAGGATTTTTCCATTTATCAATATCAATTAATGAAAGAAAATTGTATTTTACACAATAAACATTAATTTTTATACATAAATATAAACATTCGTAATTAAAATTTTTGTAAATATATGTTTTTTAAGAAATGCAGCAATTCCCTTGTCAATAATCTCAAATGAGACTTTTTTTTATTATGTTTAATATTCGCAAAGCATACTCGCTATGCATTGCTTTATTGAATTGCCTTTAATCGGATGATGCCATCCATCTTTCTGTGATCTTATTTAAATTTCTTGTTTATAATTTCAGCAGCTTTCGGCATAATCATCAGCGACGATATTATTGCGTCCAATTTTTCAGAGTGATATGTGTGAGTGCCTACGTTCATGCGAGGGAGATAAATAGTGTAACAATGGAAGCACGAAGAGAAGAAAAGGGGAGAAAATTGATATAGCAAATGGAATCGATTAATTACATTCATAGATGGCTAAATAACATTTTATAATTATTGCATCAATTATAAGAAATCGAATATTCCAGTTTTAAGTACATATTCCATTATCAAATTTTCGTACTATAATGACAATAAGCTTACTACTTATATCGGAGGGAAATTATGAAAACAGCCATATAAATTATTTGTGCTGTTTTTTTTGAAATATGTAAAATCTATCAACTCTTCCGAAAATTTAAACACATATAGAAGTTATTTCTTTCTTAACATGTATTTATTAATAAAACAATTGTTAATTCTGAATGTCGATTTGTTTAATATATCTTTAAATTGATAATACGTGAATTGCAATGTCATTCTTATTTCAAACCTTTTGAGATCATTAAAATTGTTTGTGTTACTAGAAATAGTTTAACAAATACATTACGAAATAAGATGTATCAAATGGAATCGTTCAATATTTTCAATAATACTGAATATCTAATGAAATAGAAATAATATTAAAAGATACTTAATTTTGTCACTTTAATTATTTATAATTTAATTTTTAAATGTCAATCAAGAATATTCCATTTTTATATACAAAAAAAATACTTCGTGATATAAATTATAACTTTTAATTATAATTTTTAATTTTTATTGACGAAATTATAAAAGGAATATATAAATTAACAGTAAAATCAACATTATATTGAATATTTATAATAATCAACAATGATGAATCGGTTTAGTACATATTGTTCATATTTATAAACAGTTTGTTCCAATCCATTCTGTATTTTATCTCTGTAGCTAAATTATTTTTATTTTCTTAAATTTAATCGAATTAAAAACAAAGCTATTTCTTTTATTCTATAAGAACAAAAATTAATATAAACTCTTCAAAATATAATTTATACAACTTCTACAATTTTTTGCAGTTTATATTATCAATAATATATATATATATATATATAGATCGATTTTAATATAAATGAATAATTTAACATTAACATTATTAATAATTTACGATAAATAATTTGATAATATTAATTTAAAAGTTAATAATATTAGAAACAATAGAGAAATATAAAAAACATTGATTAACATAATGTTTACCCGTGTTACGATAATATGTATGCGATCTGAAAAAAATTAATTTCTTTTTATATTTAAAATTGAAAAATAATAATTATTGAAATATAAATATAGCTGCAGAGATAATTTTAAAGATGGTACGTAACGTTTGTTAAATTATAAAATAACTTTTCCATCGCACAGTTACATGATATAAAAATTTTATATAAAAATAAAATGTCTAAATGCTCATAATCATTGCTTTAACAAATATTTTATTGTTATATTATATGCCTATATTTTATACATAGAGTCGTACTTAAACCATGTTTTCATTTAGTTTTCCATTCGTCTTTTATTGTTTCATTAGTATTCAATAGCGCGTACCGTGGACCACTATCTTTACTTTTATTACAAGTAAAATCTGTAGACCTAATATTACATTAATGTTCTTTAAAACTTTATTTGAGGGGAATGTACTTCTTATATTAAAAATTTTTTGTTTTATGATATATATCTAAAACTACAAATAACTATATTTAAAAGATCAAAATCAATTTTATATTTCTTGAAAAATTTTAAGTTATGCTAATAATATAATTGACTATTTACTTTTGAATAGCATTGTTTTAGAGCTATTTAATTTTTCGTCACGTTTGTATTTCTTAACTAATAAGAGAAAACCGATGAATAATATTAGTTATGACAATAAAAAAGATGTTTTAATTTTGTATACAATAGACAAAAAAAAATTGAAAAATAACATATATAATACATTTTTTATTTTTATTTACATTAGATATAAATATACCGTTATAAATAATTATTTAACTTTTACACAACTTTGTTTATGTACTTCCCTTCAAATTTCACTTGTAAAAGTTTACTCACTGTCTAAGAAATTGAAAATTTAAAAGTTTGTAAACTAGACTGCAGCTCGATGACAGTGTATTTCGATATTGTAAAAAAGAAATTTTTTTATCATTCTAATTTAAAAAGAAATTATTAGCTATTTCTATAATTTTCAGATGGCATGTGTAATTTACTTAGATATGATATTTATAAATCTGGGGTGAATGATCAATATGAATCATGGTTCAATAAATCACTGAAATAGAAGTTCTCATTGAATAAAATGAGGTTATATTGAAAATGACATAAGTTTCGAAATTATTTTACGAAAGTGTAATATTTCAAATATTATAAAAAAAGATATCGATTCCTATAATTACAGAAATTTTTTATTTTTTTTATTTTCAATGAAGATTATAATTCCAAGTGGTAAATTAAATATCATTGATTAAAATTATGTTAGAGTTCAAATAAAATAATAATATTCTTTATTTTTCCTTTTGTTTTGCACATTTATTTTTCCTTTGCCTCGTAGTTACGTTTAACTATAGGTATATACGTAAACAGATTTGTACGGTTTGCAACACTTTCGAGTCGAAACTAATATACTACCTCATCGCACAATGCGTAAAAAACAAAAGTTATTATTAAAAAAAAGGCCAACAGCTATGTTTTTAAAATTTATAATAGATATTTTCAAAGTCGATAAAGCAGATGCGTATGATTATTAAAATAAATAAAAATTACACCATGTGTATAATTTTCATTAATAATTATTAATATCTAATTGCAGTTGAAGTAATGTTTCTTGTTTGGGGTATTAGATTATGTATCGTGGTAAGAAAAGCACCTTCTGAGTTCAATGAAAGTCGATTTATATCTATGGCGATTTATAATGAATTTCTTTTATCTGTCTTCCTAAATGTGTCTATGTAAGTACACATTTTTCAAATATTTTAGTAAGTGTATTTAAAAAAATCAAAGTATATAACTTTTATGATTATTATAGGTTATTTTTACAATCGCCAGCTAATCCAGATTTACTCTATATTATATTTTTTTGTCATACGCAACTGACAGTTACTCTTCTACTTGGATTGATCTTTGGAAGTAAGGTAAGGAGAAAGACTGTTCAAATTTTTCATTTTAATTAGCAATTTAAATTATATTTTAATAAGTTTGAAAAATATAATCGACATCTATTGACTAATAAGATATTGTAAAAGATATTCTAACAAATATATTATATTTATAGTTTGTATAATATATACAGACATTGTTATAGTTGTGTAACTTCATATTAGTTATACATAGAGTAAAATGATAAAAAAAAAAAACTCGGTTATTATTAAAAATTTTTATTTACCTTTTCCTTACATCTATAACATAAAATTTAAAAGCTAATGAATAGTTTTTTCCTTTTTTCATATAAGGTTTACGTTGTATTTCGAGGAGGTGGTAAAGACGATTCCAATACTAAGCTTACTGGTACAACTAGTAAATTTCTAGGGAAAACCTCACGAACTCCCGCTACGAGTAACCAGACCAATTCAATTTCTTTACATCAAGCACATTTAACCGAAGATAGTGATGGAATAACGGTAGTGAATTATTTCAAGTTATTACTTATTTATTTTATTCCACTTCCTATCCCAAAAATGATTTTATAAAATATGCTTTAAAAGCACATAAAATTAAAAAAAATATATTTCGACAAATATTTATACAGTTTATTCATTCGTGAATTTTCTACATGTAAATCATACATATTTATAAAGTGATTGAATTTGTAAGTTAAATATGTAAAAATTGAATTTCGAAGATCGCGAACATTTTTAGATAGCTATTTTAGAAATAATAAAAATAAATATTTTTATACAGCGCCGAGAATAGAAACTATATATTTATTATATCACTAAAATTATTTATAAACATGTATAATACTTTTAATAGTAATTTCTTTATAATATGTAGTAATATATTTATATCTTTATTTATTAAGTACTTAAGTAGTTATAACAAAAATCTATAGACAAATATTGTATGATTGATGTTTCAGTAAAGAGAGACATAAAAATAGAAAAAGAATATTTTCAGAAGAAAATTTCAATAATTTTCAAATTATGAGGAAATTCAAATATGCTATAACGACGGAAGTTATTGATAGCAGAATTTTTTTCGAAAAAATGTTATCACTTCAAAAGGAGTAATATTGTTTTATTTGGCCATAATCTATGCCAAAAATTATAATATTTAGAAAGTGCTTTAAAATTTTATTTAAAATCTGCGATTATAGTTTTTAGCAATATCTATTATTTATTCTATTATGAATTCTAATCCTATTTGAGTATTGATTATTAAAGATTTAAACATTTTTAATGATAAATACATTTTTCATTTTTAGGAAGAGTTTCGCAGATTATATAATCAACTGGAATTACTGAAAGAAAAAAATTTACGCTTCGGCAATCGACAAATGGTTGAAAAAATTACAGCGATGCAAGAAGCTGCTAATCGTGCAGAATCGCACATCACTACAATCCACTCTATATCTTGGTCCTTGCATGGAAATAAACTTAGTAATGAATCATCAGTGCCAACTAGGTTATTTTTTATTATAAATTCGAATTTACACTTTTAAACAATACGTATAACAGTGCCGATTCTAATAAATTAATACTTTTCATTTAGAAGGAAAATAGATGTTTCTAAGAATCTTGAATGTTCGCACATTGAGCGAGAAAACAGCACGATTGGGGTTGCAATTAAAGTAGATAAAATAGAAAAAGAAATAGAGTACAAAATAGAGAATGAAAAAGAAAATGGAAACGTAAAAGATAAGGAAAAAGACAAAAGTAAGGACAAGAATGTACAAAGTGAAGATGAGCAAAGTGAAGTAGCAACAAGTACTAGATCACAAGATGTAGTCGTAACAAAGAATCTCGAAGACCAGACTAAAGATCGAAATAGAAGTAAATCCGGTCATGCTAGAACTCATGCTATTGTTATAAATCTTGACGATAAATCAAGATTTTCGGAGGAGGTCACTGTTTGAAAAGAAAAAAAAAAAAACTATCTCCCATATACTAATGTAAGGTAAAATTAATTAAAAATTTTACGAGTGTTAAATTGATATAAATATCAAACTGAAAATTCATATAAGAGGAAACACCAATTATATATGAACCTCTGCCCAAACAACATCGAAAATCGAAAAACATTATCCGATGAAATGTTGTTCAAGAAATTTTATATTATGAAATTATAAAATAATGAAAAAAAAAACAACTTGTAAATGTTTTTAAGTCGATTGTTTTTATTTTAATTGAAATATTAGATTTTTAATATAACGTATGAAGTTAGTTTAATAAGTCTCAGTCCTTGATACGAAGAAGATTTTACTCGTGTAGCGCCGTTGTTGGAATTTACTCCTTCATCATTATAATATCAGAATGAGTCGAAGAAGGAAGTATATAAATGGCCGGTAATTCAGTTTCCGGCCGAACAGAATTACTAGCCATTATCGTTAAATCCTCAAATGTAATAACATTGTTATGATAATTACACGAAAGACTAAAAACATTTTAATTTTCATAGTTGTTTATATATAAAAAAATTTCAAATATGTTGACAAAATTGATTGAATTAATTGAGAAAATATTTTAATATATGTATGATATATTTACTAAGTCTGAAAATTATGTTAAGTAAAGTAAACTTCAGTTACACTTTTCAGATAATTAAAAAAATATAATAAATATTTACAAGTACTTTTATAGCGTTCTTGAATATTTTTATTACAATATTTCATCAGATTATTTTACTTTTTCATTCGGTAAAAATAACGAATTTATGTATTATGCCTATAATATGATACTTTTTGTAATAAAGCAAATTATACTCGCCTCAACCTATTGAATTTTGTTCAATAACAATAATCATTACAATATTCCTATTTCGATGTTATTTAGGTGAAATTTTATTACATATAAAGATATATGTTAAGCGTTATGTACGAAAAGCCATTGTTATTCCTTTAAAAAAAAAAAAAAAAAAAATTATTTAACATTCACGACAAGAAAATAATATTGCTTTAAATAATCGAGTATCGTTAAAGGGTTGTGGAATTTTAGAGCTTTAAATAACTATATATATGCACTTATACTTATTTTCATTTATTTGATTATTAATTTATGCCCATGGTAATTACATGCATTATTATATTTAACAAAATAATTTCATTCGGTATTTCGTCCTTATAGGCATTATACATATAGCTAATTGAATCACTTGATAGTATTAACAAAAAAAAAAATCATAAAATAATAAAATAAAATATAATATTCATATTATTTCTATTAATTGTATTTAGTAAAATATATAGTTATTTTAAATCTAATAGCGTTATTAAATATTAGTTAAACATTTACTTCCACACCCCTTGAATTAAACTATATGATTAATGCAATGTCCAATGTCTACTGTCGATAATCTCATGTGTATAAAAATGTGATAACAAGCGAGATTTGAAATAAAATAATAGAAGTAGTACATTTATGTAAGTATATTGTAAATACGAACAATACGTATACATGTGAATTCGTATCATTTAATATAAGAATTTTATGCGCAAAATAGGGCTGGTATGAAACGAGATAAATAATGCATATCACGAGCCAAAAATTGACCAATTTCCAAAAAACAACAAATTTTTCTTTTTCATCCGCATTATACTTATCTTTTCGGTCCTGATATCTTTTTTGATATCTTCCTATTGAATAATAATTATATTATAATACATATGATAAATTCAATTAATTTACTTTAAAACAATCGGATTTGATAACGGTAACTGTGAATTTAAAATATTAGAGGTCCAATACATTTTTGTAACCGTCCGTAATGTACGATATTTAATGTTAAGAATTTTTCGGTGCAGCATTATTGATGACCATATATTATTCTAATTATTATAACTAACTAAAAAGTCAATTAATTTTTAGATTTCAACAATTTATTAATAGAGAGGTAATGTTTAACTGTATTAGGACTAACTCTATTCAAATTATAGGCTAATTAATTCTAATAAGTTAATTTTAATGTTTCTTCTCATGTTCGTCTTCTACTTAATAACCATTTACTATTTTATTTTTCTATTAAAATTATGCTTTTCATTTTTCTGCTTTTTCATTACAATATTTGTTAAATATATATAAATATAAATTGTTTCAATTTCATAATCGTACCATTTTTTATTATTATTTGTTTTTTAGTTTTTTGTATTCGACATCTTCATAAATTTTTCTCATACTAAAATAAGCTTATTATTTTAATGTTTTGTAAAATACAATATTTTTTATTTGCTAAAAATTAGTGGACATATTATTCTTTCAATAATTTTGATTTATGAAATATATATTCATGTATAATATTTACTTAATTCGCGGCAATTAATTTATATCGCTTGTTAAAAACAAAACTAAAACTAATAACGCGTTTAAAGATATTTACAGAAATAATCCAATAATTATATATTTAATGTTAACCCATAATTTTTATCTTTCGTTTTAAATTTTTTGCAGATTCTTTAAGTAGTACTTTTATTTTTAATAAAAGTCCAACATGATTTATGATATTAAATGAAATTCAAATAATTCATACCCTATATATAATTAAACAATTCTATTTAAAGAACTAATTATTCTAATACAATTCTTCATGGATTGAAAATGGATTAATTTCATTAGGACAACATTATATTAACGTGGCTATCATTTTCTTATTTCTAATAAATAAAAATTTTATTATAATTCTTATAATGATTCGATACTCTTTCTAAAAACTGTCAATAAGTGATGTATTACTTATTTTAATTTTTTTAGTTTTAAATAATTTTCGTAAAGTTAATCACTTATTAATCTATTATGATGTAATATACATTGATAATATCGAATAATATCTTCTGCACAGAAGGTAAATGCTGCTGATAATATGTTGGATAGAATATCGTGATAACTGGAATGTGATGTAATTATCTTATAATTATTGTAATAGTTTTTTTGATTATTTCAAAATAATAATTACGAGAATCCTCATTAATTCTATAAAATTTTATAGTAGATATTGTTTGTATAAAAATATATTTCATTATATTTTCCTTTATCAGTAGTAAAAACTTCCTTGTAATCACAATGTATCTTCAAAATGAAGTTTGTTAAAATGATGTAATAGTATCGACATCCTAATATCGTGTTCCAATATAGTCATAATAAATATAAAATAAACTATTGAAATAGTTCCTCTGGATGTTGACTAAACTATTAACATTTTACAGTAAATTACCGTTCTTATATTTTATGATACGTTTCAGTTTGGAAAGATTTTTTTTTTTTTTGTTAATTTGTAACTGTTCGTAATTCGTTCAATCATGTACACCGTTAATAATTATGTTATAATGATAATTGAAATGATATCCTATTTATATTTTTTTCAAACACTTGCACCACTACAATATTAATCTATACATGACTTTCCTATTGCTTAAAATTTACATTGTTATATCGTGTTATATGATTTCTTAAATTATAAATCATTCTTTATTTTTAGAAATGTTATATATATATTGTACATTTTATATTTTCTTATTTCTTTATCTATCTTTTATATCTGCTAGTTTGACGCTATTTTAATTATTGCCCAATTGTAGATTCCTTTAAGCCAATTTGATAGTTCAACTTAATAGTTGATGTATATTGCTTTTTATTCACGTTTTTAACATTCAATTTATTAACTATATAACGTTAACTTCCAATATTGGATTTTATTAATTTTATTAATCATTGTATTCTGAATCTAAATTTAAACTATTCATACATTTGAAAGATAAAATTTTTAAATATTAAACATTTTTAAATATGTTATTCATTCAAATCTAGTTTCTAATTTTGCCGTGCCTCCTCAATATATATATATATATATATATATATATATATATATATATAATCAAACGAGTCAAATTCAAAGAAATAATTTTTTAATACATTCAGTATTTCATTTACAAATAATTAATGGTCGGACTTGGATTCTATATAAATAATTGCAGATTAACAAAATTGAGTCATAGGACACACGCGCAGTTTTTATGCGGTTCGTCCATAATTTATTGTATCTTCACAGCTACCGTTTGTATATTAAAACTATAATCTCTAAATAATACAGAAACTTTTATTAATTGTCACGTCATGTTTAGTTTATTGTTGTTAAAATAATACAAATTTATTTAAATATGATTGAATGGGCTGAATAAACTTTAGAACTGCCATCATTTCGTGATGATCATGAAAACACACATTCATGAAAGAATTATGATTTAGTTTATAAATGTATAAAATATTTAATGTCTAAATTTATTGTAAGTTAATCAACAATTCACAGATACAATTTATTATCGAGGATAACATTTTATTTACAAGATCTCGTATTGTACTCTTGTAATATTTGTAAGACTAATATTCGGCATACCATTTAAACAATGCCGATTCTTGAATCTAGTCCATTTTAAATAAAAATTATAGTTTTAATTATAAGTGTTAACAAAAATGCAAAATATGTTGAAATAAAATGTATAAATACAATAATATTGAATGTTAGTACATTATTGATTGTGCTTAATTTCTAAATAAAAAAACTTTTAATTTAGCATATAACATTTTAATATGTATTTTGTTTAATTATTATTTCAAATTAACAAATAATAATAACAAATGGACTCACAAGCTCAAACATATATTTGAATGTTTGAATTATCACTTATGTAAATCAATCAGTCTTTAAGAGCATGCATATTAAAATAAATATGAAAGTTTTTAAGAAAAATTAATATGTATATAATTGTAAGGAATTGTTTCTTACAATTTTTATTTAAAGAAAATATTTCTTGAAATGTAACTAGTATATAAGCATATAAAAAAAAAAGTTAATAAAAGTACATTCAACTTATGGAAACAGTAGTTAATATTTATAATATTAATTAATATTTGGTCGTTTGTTTCTACAACTATTAAATGA